TTTTTACTAGTTTTGTCTGACTGGGTAGTCTTTTTGATGATTATGTTAACATTTTTTTGACGACACATTAAATACCAAACACTTGGTATTTTTAGCGTGTCTTCTTGATTGCAGCTATTTGTTATAAATTGAATGAAAAAAATGACGTCAAAGTAGAATCGAGAGGGAAGAGACAAAAATAGTTGTATATTGGAACATATATTCGTAATATGGAATGGAGGAAGCATGCGAAAATAGATATATTAACGAGGAAAGATATCCAAATGATTAAATGCTTTTGAGTCCTTATTTTGTCCAGTGGTAAGGAACCTATAGACTAGAACAAACCATAAAGGATTCGTGGTGAGATTGAAACCTGATCGAGATATTGAGTTGCGAATTTATAAGCATTTTAAGCAGTCTTTATCACATCTAATTTTTTCTTAATGTTTTTGCTGAATGTTGTTCTGGCTTGGAAATTTTTTCATAAATTCCTAACATGATCCTCTAATTTTGCTAAAAGGGTAAAATCTTTATAGCTCGGCAATGTCAACGTATCAAATCTATAGTTCTTTTCATCTCTAACACAACTTTCATTTTTTGAGGTCAGTGAATAGATTTGTTTCTATGCTTCCTTCCATTGACTCGGCTGATCAAAGGCGAAAGAACAGATAAGAAGGTGAAGACATGTGCTCACTCATGGAAAACAGTCTATCAGTTGTATACTATTTTATTCAGTGGTGACATCATTTGCAGTTCATCTCTTGTCTTCTTTCATTGTCATGACATCATGCATATTCCATCTATAAGTCTCAATCAATCTATTGGAAAGAAGCAATATCATAAACCTGAATTCGTCGATACACAATCAACTATTTGGTATCATTTTCAAAAAAATGATTCTTTTCTTTTGGTTTGCCGCCGGTTATACAGATAATCATTCCGACGATTTTTTAACCGTGAAAGGTGTCTGTTTTAATTTTGAATCTCATGTGTGTCATGTGTCTGGTTGTTACCATTCTTCGTTCATTAACTGTGTTCAGTGCAGACAGTTGTTTTGTATATCTCATTTCGTCGAAGAATATCATTTTCATTGCTAAACAAACATCTCGTATCAAAAATAAATACAAAAAGTAGACTGAACATTTAGATTTGAAACAGTAGATAAAGTAGTCTTCAAGGGCAGCGAAATAATCTCAACATTTGATACGTTGGTATTGGCGAGCTATAAAGATTTTATTCTTTTGGCAAAATCAGAGAATTCATGTTAGGTATTTATGAAAAAAACTTTCAAGTCAGAACAACATTTAGCAAAAACATTAAGAAAAATAAAATGTGGTGAAAAATGCTTAAAATGCTTATAACTTCGAAATTCAATATCTCAGTCAGATTTCAATCTCAGCACAAACTCTTTGGGGTTTGTTCTAGTTATAGGGCCCTACCACTGGGCAAAATATGGGCTCAAAAGCTTTTAATCATCTGGATACGTTCCCTCGTAAGTCATTTTTCATTCTTGAGGGTGTGGGTATGCTTATGTGTCTTCTCTTTACTCACGCTCTTTCTGAGTACATACCTGGCTTCTTATGTTACTCGGACAATGGAGAACGAACACACGCCAATGTACATACACTTATGGCTGACATACTGCCATAAAAAATCAACATATCTATCACTAAACATATTTACACATTTGATGATGGAGTCCTATGGAATACTAACTAAAATCATGGAATGATATATCTTAGGGATGTTGAGTGTAAGAAAACAGCCATGTAAGCTGCTTTTTATGTGGAAGATATGCAACAAACTTCTTATTGACTGTCGTTATTCATTTATTCTCACGTAAGTCTTATTTTCTTTCTTCCTAAGCTCCATTTTTTTTCTTCATTTCTTCGAATATCAATCAGTGCTTTGTTACTGTTGCTGTGTAGACGACGTCTTTTTTCGTTTTTGATCTTCCGTCTTTTTTGTTTCATCGCCAAGACACATGCATGCATATGATCTTATGCAAATAGCATTCTTCGAATGATCAGTAACCGACGTCAAATTGTGAATCATTATCTGTAGATTTGAAGAGGATTAGAGAAAATATCAGCATTTTTTATGTGGATCGAAATCTATATCGAGTGTTACCGATATTGATACGTCCATTTGAACATAACAGTTTCTATTTGCCTTAAGCGCCTCTCTCCCTCAACATCGACATGCCACGTAGGATGATCCGTTTATGCTGATATTTTCAGAAATGAATGACCGTAGTGAGAAACACTTCCAGTAAAAATTTCAGCCCGATATGAGTAGAAGGAACTTCTGGCCTATTTATAGTCCATTTTTAGCCTGCAAGAGAATCCTTATAACTTCTTTATGACGAGAGATAGAGTGCTCAGGATGGTTTCAAATTAAAGCTAACTTCAATGCGCAATTTTTCATCGGATAGAATTTTGAAATTCGTTTCCATTCATTTTTTGATGATCGTTTCAGTACACATGGGGTCGAAATAAGCCAAAACAAAATATCACTGCATGACATTAAATCTCGCTTTTCTTATTGCAGAAATCAAATATAAAAAATCTGGTCGGACAAAATTTTACTCTCGCTTAGACCTTTAACACAAAAAACACATTGGTATTATCTTGAATCGTGCAGAAGTTATTTCCATTTTTCTGATCAAAAACTATGTTTTTGAGAAAAATAATAAATAAGTTTAGAAATTGTTTTTTTCATTCCAATCCGGAAATAATGGGATATTGATAATATTTATGGGAAACTTTTGAAAACGCGCAATAGACAACGTAAGCTAGCACCACGGTTCATACTATTTCATATAAAAATGCCTATTCCATGTTGATAGAAGTAGCAAAATAGTGTTCTCAAAAATAGCCAAAATCTCTCCAAAAATCAAGTAGTGAACTGGAAATACCCTACGAAGATCCGCTAAAACTTGGTCTCTTTTTAAAAACCTATATATATTCTGAAAGAGGAAACTTCGTTGCATCTTTCTTTGACAAAAACTCAACTTCCATCGAATTATAAAAAACTGGCTTTTTTGAAGAGAAGCTCCCTTAAAGAAGACGATTCTAGTGATATTTTATTTCTCTTTGAACTTGCATGGCGTGTTACTCTATGATCGGTATTGAACGTAGAATACAGATTGAATTTATGCTGAGCAATGCGCGTCTAGGAATTGTACGTACTTGTATTTCATTTATCTTTAGCATGTCATCGATGTCAGTATCGTCATTAAAGAAAGATGTGGCCAAGACATTCGACACGATTCGGCGAAAACGACCGATAATTTATCAAATATTGAACCATACTGTGATGAGTCAAACTGCTAATGCTACAATTCATGTTGGTGCCAAGTCATTACTGGCACATGTAGTCGAGGAGGTCGAGGACATGGTTTCATTGGCCGACGCACTCTTAATCGATTCTAGCACACTAAGCGGATTATGGATTCAAGGAATGCATCTTGCAGGACAGCGTGCCAATGACAAAGAGATTCCGATCGTATTTGATTCGGTGCTAATTGAAGCCACCACTTATCGCACGGAAGCTGTTTTAAAATTATTCAATTCTTTCGATATTGCCATTTTAAAAGGCAATTCGAGCGAGATTAGACACATTTACAATGTAATATTTCAAATTCCTAACGTTGCTTCTGTTACTGGCGTGCTTGATCCAGGTCAGATTGTACGAAAGTTGGCTCAAAAGAGAAATGCAAAAACTATTGTGGCACTTAATGGTGAAAATAACTACGTTTCTGATGGACGTCGGATAGCGATAGTTAAGAATCACTGCAAACGCCTCAATCAACTGACCAGTATGGAATGTATCTTGAGTGCTATGATGGCCTGCTTTGCCGGTGTCACTAATGATTATTTGGTCGCAGCTGTCGGCGGTTTCGCTGTCATGGGTGTGTGTACAGAACAGGCTACATTTGATGAATCAGTTCATGGAACAGCGAGCTTCCAAGTGGCTCTATTCGATAGATTGAGTACTCTTACTGGTAGCGAATTGGAGTCATTGATGCACATCGAATTGATTGATAATTAAAACAAGAAGCAGTTGCTTGTCACAATATTTCAACACGAACCATACCATTATTCATTTCAGTTTTACACTTTAGATCGTCATACTCAAGCAAGGCTAGTTTCTAATACATATTAATACGCGTCAAAATCGTTATATATATTCTAGTGCTGATTTAAAGTCAATCATCTCGATGATTTTTTCGAATTTATACCAAATCAAAAGATGAGTCAAGCTGTGTTGATTCCAATCAGAGATTCTAATATTGGAGACCTAAAAAGCTTTATCATATGTCTGAGACAGATTCCTATATGCCATATCTATAAATTCGTAGATAAAATTCTACCCGATAAAGATTTCATTCCAACAACTATCGAAAGTGTGAGTCGTGATTCATCACACTCAATCGTTTAGGTCTAATCCATTTTTGTGAGAGTTTTCCATAATTGTTTTTGATTAAAAAAATCATCAACTTGGTCGCTATATTCAAATCAATCAGATCTGGTAGGGTATGGGTGTGGGTTTAGACGTGGATGTGATTCTTCTGCTCATCAACACCCAAACTCACACCCACACCCATGTCAGTATGTTAGAAGAGTATGTTTGATATTCTGCTTCATCAGAACTACGAAGTGTTCGTACTATATGCATCCTTTGACTCCATTACCAGTTCTTGAACAATCATGACATTGTTGAATGTCTTTGCTACACTTATATTTTTCGTATTATGTTACCTGTTTTTCAATTATTATTTGTACATATTATCATAGATAGTGTTTGACTCTATTTTTTGAAACATAATAGTTTATCAAATAGTCTTCTGTATATATGTCAAAGAATTTAGATCTCATAGAAAAACTTTGCTTTTTGATCAAAACAAATCATCTTTTTTTTATTATAAATCAAATTTATTTTCAAAACATATTTATACAAAATAAAGAAAAATAAATATTTTCTTAATAAAACTTGATATAAACATCGGTGCTATGCTACTCTTCTTCTTTGGATTCATTATTCCAATCAATATTCGTTGTTTTCATCAATGTTATCAAACCAATAGGTAAATTTTCACTGTCAATGAAATCTAATTGACTAAATGTTGATTGAATTTGTTCACCATAATAACATAGTAACCACTCTAAATAACTGTCACTATCTTTTTTCATTCTATGCTGTTTTTCAGATGACATGTGGGTACTTTTATCTCGAAAGATTTCTATATGATCTACAAAAATGTTCGTCAAATTAGGGGATAACCCTGGAGTAATAGCTAACATATTTGTATAAACAGCTGTCCAATGTGAAAGATGAGTTTCACGACGTTGTATATATTCGTCAAAAGTGATGAATGTTTCATCATCGTGCATAAATTGTGCAATGAATCTGAATTTTTTATGTTTTTTTGCTTGCTTATATTCAAACTCTATTTCAGCATATTTTTCAGCATCTTTAGCCGATAATTGATTAAAACCGACCATCTTTTTCGATAACAAATATTGTTGAACACTATATAAATCAAGATAAATATTTTTCAAACCTAATCCACCCTGTGTCAATGGCCAATAGAACCAAGCTTCACAAATTTCATCAGTCAAACAACTAGGAAATTGTTCAACAATACGATTTGTAAGAATTATCAAAGCATTGCCATTTGTTTCAGGAAAAATATATCGATGAATATATTGAAATATTTCAATTATATGTTCAATATGATATGTACCCAAAATGTTAGCACATTGACCAAAATTACACATGAAAAAAGATATATATTTATTATATAAATTGATCCATTCTAAAATAGTTGTTGCATTTGTTAATCGTGTTTTCATTTCATCGAGCAATGGTCGAATTGTCTCTTGATGAATGATAAAACGACCAGATGATTGTAGAGTAAGTAAACCCCATTTAACGTCTTTAGAAGGTAATATAACATTTGTTGATAATTCATCAACATTAGTTATTATGTTTGATGGTTGAATGCGTCTGGAACCACATTTTTCTTCATTAAATTTAAGTCCAGTCATTTGTGCATATTCATTCATCAATGTCCAAGCTTGTTCAATTTTAGTTGATTGAGAATTAAAAAAACAAATATCATCATGAAGACGATAAATAAAAATATCAGTATTTTGATATATATAGAGATCTAAACCGAATAGAAGTAATTCAGCAAATAGATGAGAAAGTGAATGTGAAATTGGTACACCACGTTGACGTTGACGAATGAGTTCATCAGGTTTGTAATAAATGGGCTGTTTAAGAAAACGATCAAAAAAATCAAGCCAAATTTGAGATACTCCACAAAATTCAAGAAATATTTGAACTATTTCATGTGAAATCGAAGGTCCAAACCATTCAAGATCAGCTGATACAACAGTGAACGATGCATTTGGTTGTAAAATTTTATGTAACTGAATTTCTACATTGATTAAATAGAATAATTTTGATTTTAAATTAAATTTATCCATATTTGCATAATTAAATACATCAAAGTTATTATTTAATCCATCCGGAAGTGAAGCCATCTAATATTCATCTTCTTGCATTCGACATCGTTTGTATTGAATTGATTTCGACGAACAATTGTCTCGAAATTTTTTATTTAATACTTGAAAAAGTATTTTTAATTCATATTTAAAATAATAACTCCATTTTAAACCTATATGTTCAAGAAAAATAGCAGTCAGAAAATCTTCTTCATAGAAACATCTATATTTTCCAACTAAATTTCGACGAAATATTCCACGTACATCTTTGATAGGCCAATTCCAATCAGCTAAATCGGATATTAATAAATTTAATGATGATTCAAATTCATTGACAGTATTTTCATCTAATCGCATTTTTGTTAGAAGTCTTTTCCGATATTCATCTAATGAATCATTACTTATAAGACTTTCAATAGCTTGTCGTATATCATTAGATGAAACTTTTTCTTTCAATAATGATTTTCCATATTGTTCTATTGATTTTTTGAATTCATCAAAAGCATCTTTTAATTTTGAATCTTTATCAAAGATAGAAAAAAGTTTGTGTGGAAGAAAATTACGCCATACATCTAAGTTTAATTGTGGTTGATTAAAAATAATTTTTTCTAACTGCTCATTAGTTAATAAACTTTTGCTAGTTGATTTCATTTCTAATGGTGTATATTCATTTTTCTGTTCTGATAACCATTGAGACATAATTAAACCAAATAAATAATTATATTCAGAACGTTTCTTACCATCAACAATCACTTTTATGAATTGTTGACGAAAATTTTCCAATACATTATTCGATGTCGATGTATTGACTTTAGCTATTGTCAATATGGAATCGAAATTTTTCAAATATCGTTCTTTACTCGTTTCATCAAATAATCTTTCTATACTTTTCTTCAACATATAAACTTTATCATATACTGATATAGTAGAATCATTATTCTGTTTCATAATTTCAATATATTCTTCATCAAATTTCTTTTTACGTAATTTGAAGCGATCTAATTTTAATTTCGTCATTAAATTAAGTGCTTCACGATCAGGTGGTATATTAAACGATGTTGTATTGATATTTTGCGTATCCAATGACATTTTTTTTACAATTTTGTTTCGTTCTGTTACAATATTATTCTTATAAGCAACGCACTGCTTTTTATACTATCGACCCTGCGTCATGTTTCGAAATTATATAGAAATTTCATCTTAATGAGTAGTATTTATTAACCTAATTATTGAGACATAATAATGAGTAATGTATGATTGTTGTAGAGATAGCCAAGTGAAATTATTGCTGATTTGATTTAATTTGAGTATTTTTTGAGTGAATAAAACCATGACTTACATAACTTGCTCGTATGTAAAAAGAAAACTGTTATCGTAATCCATGCAAGAATCAAATTATGAAATATAATGTAGTTACTATTGCTAACTATAGGAAGATTATTTTATTATATCTATTTCGAGTCATATTTCTATAAGGAATAGTCAAGCAATTCAATATTAATGTGATGAAGAATTTTTCATCCTTTTTTTTTGTTTCTAATAGTCTTGATCGTCGTCTATCAGCCAAGAAACGGTTAATTTTATCAGTCAATGAACAACAAACCATGTGCTTATGTATAAATCAGGTGTTTCAGATTACAGGAAAAACTTCCCAAAGAATCTGAACCTAGTTTTATCATCTTAGGATGCAGCATTAAATCGTGATTATTTTTCACATCTGAAATCTCCTTCATCTATCGACGAAATCATGAACATCATGAAAAAAAAACTGTTTCAATAGTGGAAACACAATTTCTGACTTGTAAAATACTCTTGTAAGATAAAAAGCAAGAATTTCCGACAATTTCTAAAAGAAAAATACTATTCTTTCATTGATGAATATTTTTAAGAGGGAGCGTAAGATATGTTAGTCGGTCTTCTTTTGACTTACACTCACACTCTTTTTGAATTTTCATTTCGTATAATTTGATTACAAAACAAAAAAAAATTATACACATGAATTCATCAATTTTAAAATATCAGAAAAACACATTTGATTTGTTACTTGTTTTATCGACAACTTTGATTATGAATTCTCATTTCCCGTTGAACTTGATCCTTGAAAAATATTATATTAACAGTGGTTTTCATTTTATGTTTGTTATGATAAATCAATTGAAATGAAAAGTTAACGTGTCAAGAAAATGATTTTTCTTGATTGTTTCGATCGTCTAACATATACATATATAAATTTTATGAATCTATTTTTCACTTTTGGGTGTGGGTATGGGCGATATAAAAAGACCAAAACGACACCCACACCCACACCCTCGCTCAACAATACAAACCCTTCCATTGTTAGTGGTATTGGATCATATGATTCAAATAGAAAATAGGCTGTGCGTAATAACACTTCGATACCAGCTACACACAGCTATCATATTGGCAAATGGAAACGTGTTAGTTATTGGTGGCTATGGTCCGAATTCTTCTCTATGCAGTGCTGAGTTTTATAATTCATGAACAGAAACATGGACAACTATTGGTAACATGAATGATGCACGAGGTGAACACACAGCAACCGTATTTGACACATGGGAAAATATTAGTTACTGGTAGATCTGATGATTGTGTGACTTTGAACAGTATAGAACTCTATTCATCATTGCAAATACATTAACTCTTTGAAAACATTTTTCATCTTCAATACAATTCTAGTCTCGTCTATGAAATGTTATCTTTAAAGTAATTACAATTGCTTTTTGATTATAAACAATTATCTTTTAGAAGATGTTTCTGAGCTGATAGGCAGTCGAACTATTCTAGAAATTCTAAGTAACTAGTACGAACAGATTGATCTCAATCGAAACTTTCTTCAACTGCATATGAATTCTCAAGCTGGAGTTCATATTGCATAGTCATGTAAGACTTTAAAAAATGCCGGTGTACCCGTTTTGAGATTATTCAAAGAGAAATTCATTTTCATATCAGATACTATATTTCCAGTGCAACTTGACATCGTTTTAGGCGTTTTTCTAAATTGTTTTCTTTGCCAATTGGTCAGAAAGTGAGATTTTTTGTTTCATGTAATCAACACTTTTAATCAATTCTATGTACGGTATATTCATGAAACAAGAGTGGATCATATAGTCGAAATATTTTGAATTGAAGCATTTAAATATGCAAAATGCCAGTTATTAGTTGTGATCACTTACGAAAATGAGCCAATTACGACACAACGTTGTATATTATGGAATTTGAGACTAATCGGTGTTAATTGTTTACTTATCGGATCTTCAATAGTGGGATGAATAATGTCTACGAAAAGGAATGGAGGATTTCCATGAATAAAATTTGCAGGCTGAGCAATCACTGGTGCGTTACATCGCCAACAGTCCCTATAAAATTCAGTTTTTGATATTTTTATTAGGAATTACTATTAAGTTTACTCTTTTTCTATTTTATTTGTATGAATGTTCATGATTTCTGTTGCATCTTTTTTATTATTTATTAATAGCCAAAGGATCAAGTAACATCCTGTCTTTGCAGCAAAACTCAGCTTTGTAGAGCTTCAGAAGTTGATTTTAAGAAGCTAGTTAAAATCAGCAAATGAGCAAAACCTACGAAGATCGACCTATACGAAGATATATTCGGAGAGCGTGTACAATCCATCAGAAAGAAGGTAGGGAGAATACTCCAAGAACTGAAGTCGACGTAAATGTGCGCTCTGTCCGATGCAAATAGAATCAGAACAATGCACTTCTTTAATTTTCATGAAATTGATAGATACCGGACTCCTGTGAGGCAACCCATTAAACGACATGTTGCAAACGGTCATTTTGATATGACTTGTTCGACTCTTGTGGTACTGGAAAGACGGGGTAATTGTATTCTTTCAAAGTAGATCCCAGAGATATACCCTTGCGAATACGACTCCTGGGAAGGATTTGAGAAGTGAATCTCACATTTTGATGGAGAGTAGATAGAGCTTGTTGACTCGTGAAGAAAGCTTTCAACAAAATACGAAATTCATTCATCACTACTTACTTAATATCTTGATCAAGTTCAAAGAATGAAGCGCAATTTTCAGATTCCATTTGAAAGTATCCCATTGTATTATGTTACTCGACATCTATTTGTGATTTCTTGCTTTTATTCACATATCAATATTATATTACAATTGCTAGAAAAATACTTAATTCATCTTAATCAGACAAGCAACGAAATGGTTTTGTATCGTTCGCAATACATTGTGTGCTAAAAATGTTTCATATTAACTTTTATGATAATTATAGCCTATAAACCTGTGCCTGTTCAAGATTTCTTGATCAAAATCATAAGAGCACATTTTCAGTCACATGGTCGTGAATTTATTAATTGAAATATGGACATTGAACAATAATAACATGCGATGCAAAAGTCTTTGCAAAGATGTCCAGCTCTATTTCAGACGGACGGACACATGTTTGACTGAACATTTTGTAATCAGCTGATAACTCGTTCTGTTCTCTTTCTAACGCTGTATGACTCGATGATACAGCTCATTACTATCAAAATGACACGAGACGAAAGAGAAGCTCTCTCACAACGTATTTGCAACTTCTATCGTGATGATTCTAATAATTCCGTACGGTGAAGACTAATTAAATAGCAGAGAACAATACAGCATTATTTTCTCTATCACTACATTAAAAAGAATGTTTCTTTCAGGCTTCTATAAGAAAATAAGATAGTGGCGACACTAGTTTTGAATTGTCTCAAATATCTTTCATAGAAATTCATGTATAGTTCGTTTTTCATTGAAAAACTACTTCAAATATATGAGAAGCACTTTTTAAATAAGAGTGTAGCAACGATACATATTTACTCCTTCTATAATACGGTTCTTTAATCAATGTAGATTCTTTTTGTTAAATTAAGAATGAATCCTGTCATTTACAAAGATATCTATAAGATGAATTTAATTGGTTGTGACTGATGCTATGCTACTGAGCCATGTTTCTTGAGGTAGAAACCTTCATAGTCATGGGTTGCGACATCCTTGCACTTCTGTTGATACGAAACAATGCCACCGACATATGGCATGAAAACTCTTGGTTTTCCTGGTATATTTGCTCCCATATACCATGAATTGGCGAGAGGAAATAATGTAGCATTGGCAACTTCGTTAACGTGATTAACCCATGCATCTTCAGCCTCGATTGTGGCTTCAATACTGTCAAAATCGTGTTTTCGCAAATAATCAAGACATTTTGCCACCCATTCAACGTGATGTTCAATTGAGACAGCCATGTTGCTTAATACTGATGGACTTCCAGGACCAGTGATAATAAATAGATTCGGAAAATCAGCAGTCATGATACCAAGATAAGTACGTGGTCCTGCTGCCCATTTTTCTTTAATTGTACGACCTGATCGACCTTGAATATCGATGCTGCACAGAGCTCCAGTCATAGCGTCGAAACCAGTAGCGAATACAATATTGTCGACCTCGTACATCGTGCTCTTAGTTTTGAGCCCAATCGGCGTAATTTCTTCGATATTTTCTTTTCGAAGATCGACAAGAGTAACATTATCACGGTTATAAGTTTCATAATAATCGGTGTCGACACAAAGACGTTTAGTGCCTAAAGGGTGTCCATACGGTAGCAAAGACTCAGCAATAGTAGGATCTTTGACAATTTTTCGGATTTTCGAGCGTACAAATTCTGCAGCTGTGTCGTTAGCTTCTTTATTGAATAGCAGATCGTTGAATGTGGATCGAAATGCAAAGCCTCCTATTTGCCACTGCGCCTCATATGCTTGCTGTCGTTCCTCTGGAGTAACACTCATTGCCGATTTATCACATGTCAATCCGACCATTTCAACACCGCGAAATGTTTCCAAAGCTTTACGTCGGTGTTCTTTATAATTGGCTTTCCACAACTGCTGGTCTTTCGCATCAAGTGGCGCATTATGAGCTGGAATACTGAAATTTGGCGTTCGTTGAAATACATAAACATGAGCTGCTTCTTTTGCGATGTATGGAATACACTGTACGCCAGAAGAGCCGGTTCCAATAACGGCTACACGACGATCGGTGAAGTTAACATCGTCATGAGGCCATTGACCGGTATGATAGACATTGCCTTTGAAAGTATTCAGCCCTTTCATATCAGGTATTTTTGCCACCGACAAACAACCTGTTGCCATGATGCAGAAACGAGCAGATATTCGATTGCCACAATCGGTTTGAATATTCCAGCACGAAAAGACCTCATCAAAGACTGCAGCTGTTACACAGGTTTCAAATTGAATATCTTTGCGTAGATCAAATCTGTCTGCCACATGGTTGAGATAGCGTAGAATAGTTGGTTGATCAGCATAACGTTCTGTCCACTGCCATTCCTGTTGCAATTCGTCACTAAATGAATACGAATACTGCATGCTCTCGATATCACAACGAGCACCAGGATAACAATTCCAATACCATGTACCGCCAACTCCACCAGCAGCTTCGAAAATTCGTGCCGAAATTCCAAGTTCTCGCAAACGATATAGCATAAACAATCCGGAGAATCCAGCGCCAACAATTACTGCATCGATCGTTTGAAGAGACTTTGCGTTATTATTTAAGTTTTGTTCCAATTCAGTCATGCTGTTTTACTTCACGTAGACTTGTATACAATAGAATTTAATCGCATATAGTGTAAAGAATAGAGATATATAAATGTGAGTCAACGTTGCTCTTTTTTTGTTATAATCAGATAAGAACGGTAAAACAGTCACATGTATGCAATTTAACTATCTGACAACCATATATACCATCTTGAGGGTGAGGGTGAGTTTATCAAGAGTGATAGACTACTGCAGCAACCATGACGATTGTTTCGTCTCGGCTAAAGGACTCATCAGATGGTTTAGAAGAGCAACTTAATGCTTTCTAAAGGTAGAAGTCTACTATATTGCATCTTGAAGATATCAATCACTCACTATAGAAATATAACTAAGGAAGGTCTAGATGACTTCCTTCATCATACTCTATGTAGGAGATCATAATACTTCACATTCTTATTCACAAGGAATAGGAGGAGATTATACGCAATGATACATAGTAGGTGAGTTTATCAAGAGTGATAGACTGCTGTAGTTACCATCTTGAGGGTGAGGGTGAGGGTGGGTGTGAGTATATCGTAAGAGATAGACTCCTAGCTACCATAACGTTAACGTTTCGTTCCGGCTAAAGGACTCGTCAGATGGATTTAGAAATCACCGAAGTAATTTCACAGGTATGACCCTACTATGCTACAACTCGAAGGTATCTCATTCAACTATAGTAGAAACAACTAATGAAAGCCCAATGAGACTTCCTTCGTTTGTGAGAGCGTGAGGGTCTGAGTATAACTACCACAATACAGGTGTATTTCACTTTTGTTGATAAAAAAGATTATCAAGTGGCTGTGTATCTGTATGAATGATTCGAAAATCATTACAAATGGTGTGGGTGTGTGGGTGTGGTTGTTGTCTTCTTTCCGTTTCCATACACACACCCCACACCCCACGCCCACGTCCACACCCCCACATCTCACACCCCAGACCCCACACACCCACGCCCACACCCATCCACACCCACACCAATCATGAACAAATCCATAAAGGCATAATACATTTGGATGTCTTATCAAATAATTTAAAATAAGATAAAAGAAAATATCATACTTAAGACGACTTTGAATTGATATTTCACTTATTAATTGTTAAGCTAAACGAAGAGTTGCGATTTGGTCTTTAATAATAGCTTTTAAAGCAACAATATATTTGCTATTTGTTTTCTCTTACACAGTAAACATGAGAAAAATGTACTCGACCTAAATGGGGCTTCCATTTCAAAATCGTTTATTGTCCATTGACGTCAAAAAAATCTTATTAACGATATACGAGTTGAAGTTTAATCTATAATCAACAATAATATGAGTAAACATTGACAAATTAAACAAATATTTATTCAATTCAATTCCTTGAAGAAATACATACGTATATCAAATAACTACTACTACCGTCTTTCGTTCGATTTATATTTCAAGCATCATCCCGAAATAATTCTTTTCACAATAATTCATCAAAAATGGTGTAGCATTGAAGAAAGCTCTTAATTAAAGGTTTTTTTTGTTTCTATGAGACAACAAAAAAAGTAAGAATAGACTATATTAAATTCTTTTTTTCTTATATAATAAACGATTGAAATGAATGAAATGGCTTAGTCTATCGTAAGTATTAATTTACTGTACTTTTTCAGGTGTTTTTGTTTTGATGCTACTGTTGTTTCATTTAAATGATTTGTAATTTAATCAGCATTACTATGTGAAGATAAGGCTTGAGATTGTTTATCATTTTCATCATTATGTTTACTTCAATCACTTCCTATAAAATATTCTCTATTTATTAAACACAAAAAAAAAACCATTTGTCAGATATTGAAGAAAGAACATATTATTTCATTATGAAGATATTGGACGACTTTCAACATTTCGATTATGAACTAATGAACGTGATGAAGATTTCATATTGTTATCTTAAATAAATATTTTTTCTTCATTGTGTAAAACTATTATTAGTAGTACATACTAAAAACAAATTTTCTCTCATTGACATTTGTATTCAAAAGAGAACTAATTCAAATTAGATTATCGAATTGTTATTCTAATACTATGATGACTCTGAAATGTTAGTGCTATCATGTAACAAAACGAGGTTTTATTATTAACAATGACATCATCTCTTTCCACAAAATAAATATAAGACATGATAAAATACAAGAAACAATAGCTCTACTACAAAATACATTGAATATGATTAAACACAAGAAAAAAAAATATTACATATAACGTATAGGAATAAAAAAGCTGAACATACATATAACAAACTTAAAGTGTGATCTTTTCCTACTAGACGAAATGATACAATTGAATGAACTTATCAATTTATTGACATATACACTGATTTTTTGTCTTCTGTTTTTTTTGAACCCATTTTTCATCATATTCAATATAAATTTGTTCAAATGTTAATGCAGTTATAATATCAAAATTATTATTTTTTCCGTATTCTTTTTCCAGATCTAAGGTAACGATCAACTCGCATAGGTCGCCATAATCTAAAATAGAAAATAAAAAGAAACAGTAGTATACATATTCTGTTTGAATAAGACAATAGCTTACCTCTTATTTTTTTGAAAACTGATTCTCTTTTCAAAGGACGTCCGAGGTAAGCTTTAATTTTTGTTAATACTAGGACTAAAAACAATTATAGGTATAGTCAATCATATTCTATAATGCTAGAAAATCTACTTGGAACATTGCAAAAAACAGTATGTTCTTCATATACGATCGTATTGTTTTTAGATGGATCAGGACCGTAAATAGGTGATACGAAAAGATCAACCGGTAAAAAGTATACATGTTCAAATCTCGCACATAATTCATCACCAAGTACATTCGTATACTCAACGTTCATTAATATCTAAAGTATTCAGAAGTACACTTCGTATTATTTTTAATCACCAGAATAATCGTACAACCAATTACACATTCATATATATATATAATCAAATATATGAATGTTTACACTTACTTGCATTGCTTTTTGAAAATCAGTCTCTGGTACTATAATATCGATATCCATTGTGTTTCGAATTACACCATGAAAGATTAAAGCATAGCCACCAACAATGTAATAAGAAATATTGTGAAGTTGAAATAATTTACTGAATCGAACGACACTCTTGTACAAAAGTCCGTCATGTGTATTAAAATGCATGGCATTGTCAAAAACATCTGCGAAAGATAAAGATAACATTATTAATAACACATAAAGCAACGGTGAGTGTGGAAAACTATTTATATGCACAGTATCAGATAAAGATTAACGATAATGAAAAACAATGATCGTCAGTTGCGATAAATAATCTTATTCTCAGTCAGTGACGAACAAAAAATAGTCATCAGAGAGAATATATAATGTATGAATCAACCGATATCAAATAAATTTAGCCAATGATAAGGAAAGAGTAGAAAACTAATCAATAAAATAGCGATAGATGAGGGCATTCGTTCATCTGTTTGTGTTCATTTTCCGTATCTTTATTTTCGAATTAGTCATGAAATTGAGTCATGTAATATAAAAGCCCCACTGATTTATCAATGATTTACATTAAAAGCAGATTTCATTCTCAACTTCTATCATGAAAAAGATAATCTGAATTATTTTTTGTTAATCGGAAAGAAAAAAAGAACCTTTTTTCTAAAATCTCACAATACATACATTTCTTTACTTTATTTTCATAGCAAATATAGTATATATCAGGGCAAGATGAAGTATCATACATATTGTTATTACAAAGTATGATTGAATTTTTTAAATGATAATAAATTTTTGGTTGGAAATAGAAAAAAATTTGATTTACACACGTATTTCAAAAGTATAGAAACAATGATAGTATATCATTAAAAAACAAATTACTATTCACAAAACTAGAATTTTTATGTAAATGGCCATTGCTCATATTTAATTTACTTCATTTCGAATGAATACTTTAATCATATCCGCTGCAGTAGTGTCAAACCTGAAAGTTGAATTCAATTATTGAAAATTTACTTCAAATATTCAATTATTGAATAGTTGAAGTTCAAGTATTCAATTATTCAGTTATTCATTTTTCGTCGTCTCCCCGCGAACTCCCTTCTTTGCACCCACACCTGGTCATGTGATGTGTTTGGGTGTACAGAGAAAATGAAATAATTGAATAGTTGAAGTAAATTTTCAATAATTGAATTCAATTTTCAGATTTGACATGTATGGTAATGTGATGCCATAACCACCATCTAATTCAGTAGAAAACGTATTTGATTATCTTTTATTATAACTATTGATTGTGTTCTATTGAATTTCATTCGAAAAGTTTTATCAATATATAATCATTTAAAAACAGAGTGAGATTCTTTCTTAGTTAGTTTAACGAGAGCATTGTTCACTCCATTTGATAGAGACACTTTAATCAAAACAGGATAATGATCAGATCACTCTTTTATATAATATATATAAGAAGAAAATACGGTCGTAAAAACATCGTAATATAGCTGCATAAGAGCATCGCAATCAAGTGTCTCAGTGGTACAAATTTGAATGATTTTTGAAAACATTTTCATTTTGGAAGAAAAACCCAATATAATATGATATATTTTCTATCAAAAATCAATTTAAGTTCTCTCATTGTACTCAATCAACACATTAAATAAAACATGGCACAAATTGTGCCATAAAAATATGTCGCATGATAGATATTTTAATCATTACTTAAGAACATATTGAGAGAAACCAATCGATCACCGAGATCAAACTATCTCGAAGTCATTTAGTCAAGATCAAATAGACTTGATGCGGTTAGATCTTAGTCTTATATTCAAAGATTAATTGATAATAATTCAATTTTTCAGGGTGTGAGTGTATGGGTGTGGGTGGATGTGGGTGTGGGGTGTGGGTGTGGGTGGTGTGGATTGTGGGTTGGG